AGGGCCGTGTCAGCCCCCCCAGGGCGGCCGGGGACGAGCACCGAGGGGGACGTGGCTTACCTCATGCCAGCAGCTGTACATGATGGCGTAGACGCGCTCCGAGGCCTGCTGCGGGCGGTAGAGGCGCAGGCCCTGGATGACGTGCTCTGTTGTCTCACTGTTAGTAAACCTCTCGTAAGGCATCTTTCCCAGAGAGTAAACCTCCCACATCAGAACGCCTGTTACGGGAAATGGCGGGGACAGTCATGAGACATGGGAGCACCTGTACCTGAAGCCGATGTGCAGAGGAGCTCACTGTTGTTAGGGCACCCTCTCTTCCCAACCTCCAAGTCACTAGCACCATGCTCTTACCAAAAGCCCACACGTCAGACTTGCTGCTGAACTTGCTGTACAGAAGCACTTCAGGGGGAGACCACCGCACTGGAAACTTTGACCCCATGGAGCTCGTGTACTCGTCATCTAGAACATACCTGCAACAGATAAATGGATCAGGGTGCCTGTCTTGGATTTCACATTTCACTTCTCCGTGCAACCGACCAAGCCCAGAAAGAATTGACAGCTCTTGGAGAGACCAGAGGTTGCACTCTGCATGGGTTTCAACGGGCAGAAATGTCCTTTTGCAAACAAGTATGTGTTCGTCAAGATTGGGGAAGGTATAGGGTGACACAGCAGCATAGCAAAAAGGGGATGTGGAGAGAAAGCTGCAGCCAGGAGATGAGGTGCGGGCAAGAAGAAGCAGAGAGGTGGAAAAGTGACGCGGGAAGTAAGAAAGGGATAGCGGAAAGTGAGGAGGCAGAAAGTGGAGCCAGACAGATGAAACAAAAAGACAGAAGACGGAGGAAAAGCAGAGCTGGAGGATGGTGGGGAGAAATACTGAAGTGCAGAAAAGATTGAAGGAGGAGATGTAGGATTGAGACCGGGAGGTGACACAGACGTATCTACCAGACCTGGAAAGGCCAAAATCTGATACTTTCACTATTCCTTGGTCATTCACCAAGCAGTTGCGAGCAGCCTGTGGATGGAGAGATGGAGGCAGTCACTCCTACCTGCTCCTGCCTCTCTCATCCTCCTGTACCATCTGGAACTTCATCTCATCCCCACCCACTTAACACTTTGCCTCACTGTGTCCTGCAGGTTGACCTGGACTGGGGCAAGCTACAAAGTCCTCAGCAAAGACGGCAAGAGAGGACTCCAGACATCCCCTTTATCTACGGAGTGGCAACTTCCCCAGCGGGATTTTGCCTGAACAAAGCAGCACCAGGAGGGGATCAGGTACAGCACCTAGCAGGGCTGCAAGTTGGCAATGCCAGTCCAAGGCCTGACAAATTGTAGGCTCAGCTCTTCATGGGGATGGAGAGGTCCCTTTTCATGTCTGAGCCAGCGATGCTGCCTGTGCTGCCTAACACAAACCCTGCCCGAGCCACAAATGCATTTCCCATCCCCTGGAAAACTACCTAGTCCTGCTTTTTCTGCAATCTCTGCTAACTCGCTGCAGGGCAGTGACTTCAGAGCGTCCCACCCGCGCTCAGGTGGGCAGGGAAGCTTAGAGGGATTTTCTGCAGAGAAGACTGCAGAGCTGCCTCTCCTCACATTGACAAACTATCTGGGCCCTGACTAGGACATGCTGTGGCTGTTGCCGAGCTGGAAATGTGTCCTTCAGCCACAGACCTACCAGGTCTCGGTGCAAGAACTGCTTGGATTCCAGATACTCCATAGCTTCACAGACATCCTTGCACATCTCCAGCAGCTCAGCAGGCTGGAACCGCCGCCGAGTTTCCCTCAGGAAGTTCAGGAGGCAGCCATTGGCCATGTACTCGGTGATGATGAAGATGGGACGCTGCTTGGTGCAGACCCCATAAAGCTGCACCAGCTTCTCATGAGACAGGTTCCTGTATTGGGGACAAGAAGAGCAATCCTGAGCATCTAGAAGGGCAAACAGCAAAAGAAACATCTGTGAAAAAAGAGAGTTTGGGAAGGGAAGGTGCTCCTGGCCTGGGCGACAGTGTAAAAGGTCACCGGGGAATCAGCACAAAGGCAGTAGGTTCTCGGATGCATTTTGCAGCATGTGAGGCTGCCCGAGACTGTCCCTCCACACCACCCAGGAGCGCAGCCATTCTGGCACGGCATATCCAGCACTGACCTGCAGGCTGCTCACCACTTACATCATGACTTTGGCTTCGTCAATAAACTCATCCTCTGACATGGAGCCCTCCCTGATCATCTTGATAGCAACGTTGTACTGGCCTCTCCATTTCCCGTACTTCACCACGCCAAACTGCCCCGTCCCCAGTTCCTTCAGGAAGGTCAGATCCTTTGGGTCAATCTCCCACGACCCTAGGACAGAGAGTGCAAGCGCAGTGTGGGTGCAGGTGACCTCCCTCCAGGGTGCTCCCAGTCATCTGATCTAGCCAGCCCAAGAAGAGCTCACAAGCATGTGCTTCCTGAAAAACTATCCCAAAAAATCCATGAAATCTGAGACTTGTTCCTCCAGGGGACAGGAAGCAAAGTAGCTTGTGGGGTCTCTTGGTCAGTACTGTCACCAGAAGGCCAGTGAGTGATTCCTGGGAAGGCTGTGAGCCCTGCTGCCATAGGACAGCCAGGATCCCAGCCCCGGAAAGTTACTACCAGCAGAGTAACTGCCCTGCAGCCAGGGAACCGTGAGGTAGCCCTGGCCAGCTTACCATAGCCAAGGCCAGCTGTGGAAGGAGCACTTTTCTGGTGTTGAGACACAGGGTACTTCAGTCTGGATATGAGCCCTGAAACACAAAAAAGTAGATTGCCACACCATGCTTACCCACCACGTTCCAGCAGGGAACACAAGCCTCCTGCCTTCCGCGCAGGAAGGTGAGGATACTGTTGTGTCAGCAAAAAACACTGCTGGCCTCACTCTGTCCACCAAACACTGACCGGCAGAGTTGTGCTGATGGTACGTGATGAGCTCCGGGATGCTGTTGAACAGGTGCTTCTCTGCCAGGTAATACTGATTCTGGGGGGTGCAGCATACAACATAATGGCGGATCATGCCTTGGGGGTCTCTGGAGAGACAGTACGTAGGGTCAGCGGCACGGGGAGGACAGGCAGAGGGTGAGGGGTGCCTGGAGGGGCCCTCTGAGGTAGGAACAAGCTGTTCTTAGATCCACTTACAGAGAGGACTTGGCATAGACAGAGACAGTGTATTTCCCTGTCTTGCTGGTGGAGTCTCGGACAATGAAGCCCCCTTCCTTACCCTAAAACAGAAAGGGGAGAGGGGCCAGGGTGGTTGTGGGGCGGTGTGACTGTAACAGGCAAAGTGAATGAAGATCACAGTATGGCTGGAGAGGGTGCAGTACATCAGAGGATTCCTACTTCCAGTCCCTGCCTGGGGGTCCACCTCCTGGACTGCCTGCCAGGAGGAGGTCACATCAGGGTAGAGATGGTTCCTGAGGTGCCTGGAGCAACACTCCCTCCCAGCGCAAGCCAGGGCTGGTCCCATGCTAATCACAACGTGACAGCAGCCCATGGAGGGCTGGTGTGTAAGAAAGCACCCAGCCTCAGGAGTCAACACTTACCTCCTGTTTCAGCAGTTGCTCCGCTTGGCTCCGAGTGATATTCTTTGAGTACCACCTGGAACAAGGACACAGCCATCAGGGAGATCACTGCAGCCTTCTGTCCCGAGCCTGGTCTGACCCTGGCCCAGCCAGGACAGGCGGTGCAGGGAGCAGGACCGGGATGGCTGTCAGGGGGCTGGAGGCTCTCAAGGGGTATCCAAGAGGGAGAGTGACCCAGCCAGGCTGGGCTCGCAGGCTGTGCAGGTTAACAGAGCTGAATGTAAATAGTCTCTGACCAAGCGCAACTTGCCACGTCCCTGCGCCTTCTCTTACTCACTCAAAGATCTCCAGGGAATTGCTGGTTTCAGTGACATAGTTGCTGGGGATGTATCCTTCCCTCCTGCAGGAGAAAAGGGGCTGGTCACACACTGATGGAGGAGGCCAAGGGGAAAGCAGGTTCCTGTCCCAGAAAGCTGAGTAGAAATGGCTCAAAAACCTTGGCGCAGACCCATTTGGGTTCGTTCCTAGGGATAGCTGATACCACAGCCTGCTTCAGCCTCCCTCACCCTCCTCCCGTGCCATCCCACGCAGAGCCCGCAGGCAGGCAGGCAGCCTGTCTCAACCCCTGCAATGCTGCAGAGGTGCGTTTGCCCACCAATGCCATGGCACCATTGAGGGGCAAGTGCTGCGGGCAGTGGGAGCTCTTACCCGTTCTTGTCACGAGCCTTCCACCAGGGCAGGTGGCTTTCCTCCACAATGAAGTACTCCTCGCCCTTCTGCAGTTGCAGGTCCTGCACGTTCATCGGCACGTAGTTGTAGAGGGCCACCACCTTCTTCATCTCGCCTGCTGTGCTGTGGGCCAGCTCAGGGGACATGGGCTTCATGACCATCTTCCCCAGAGTGAGGGAGAGCGTGGGACACAGTGAGGCTGGCAGACACACTGTTTCCCAGACAAGACCCTCCCCAGGCCTGGCAGGGCAGTGGGCTCAGGCCACATCAGCTCTCACATGTATCTCCACCAGGAGACCGGTCCCCCCTCCAGCACTTTTTATTGCAACATTTCCTGCTTGAAGACCCATCCTCACAAAAGACAAGCGTTTTGTCTCTGTCTTTTGGCTTAACCGGTGACTCCTCCACCCTATATCAGGGCTTCTCCATTCTCCCAGCTCCCCCTGAGGATCATTTGACTTTCCTCCAGGCCTTTGGGCTCCATCCCCTGGTTCAAGCGCCCTCTCCCCGGGGGTACCATCTTGACATCCCTCTCCAGAGCAGAGCCCTGGCCTGTACTTCTCTGAACAATGCACTGCCAGTCACTGAGCGTGTTGGCTTTTCCCAGGCAGACCCTCTCCTTAAACACCTGGGAGCAAACCCACATGCTGACACTGGCCCTACCTGGTCCTCCTCAGGAGTGGGGGGAAGAGGCTTCTTTGTCTTGCGATGCGACCGCCCAACCTTTAAACCTTCAGAACAGAAAAGGGACTAAGGTGAGAACTGATCCCCGGCGTTGTGCTGCAGTGGTCCCCAGGGACTGGAGATGGGGCAAGAGGAGGGGACCCAGTGTCTTACTGCCATTCCGGCTCTCCAGGATCTGGCAGCCCATGGCATTCTTGGCTGTCTGGGAGCAGCACAGGTACTGGCCATCGATCCAGAAGCAGGGGTGATACTTCTGTACCAGGTCGCTGTTGTACCGGATCACTGTGGCAGAGGAGGGGAGATGTGTGTGACCGGGGCTGTGTCCCCAGCCTGCTGCAGAGAGCCCTCTGCTCCCTGAATGCAGGTGATCAGCCCTGTTAAATCATTTCACCCTCTGCTGTGCCACTGATACACAGCCACACGTGGGCCTGCTGCCCGGGTTTCCCTCAGCTCACTGCTTGTGTTTGGGTGCAGCAGCTATGCAGATCCTGTGCCATGAAACCCCTAGCTTGGGAAGCACCAGGCTTTTCCTCTCAGATTTGATCAAAGCTCTTCAGCAGCTCTGCAAAGGGACACGAGCATGCTTGGAGGGCCAGGTCCTGCTGTGACCGGCCCTCCTGCCAGCCGAAACATCCAGCATCCGCCGGGCTGCTGAGGCCCACAGTTCACAGCTCTTTTAAACCCTTTTTTTCAGAAGTGGGGAGGAAGGCCAGTACTGTGCCTGGTTTGTTGACGGACACAGCAGGGCACGACCACCATCCCCTGCCTGCTCAGAAACTTCCCTTGCTGGGAGACCGCTCCCTTGCCAGGCAGGCGCTGACCGGCTTCCTCATACTTCTCCCCAAGCTGGAGGGACAACTGGATGTGCCTAAACACCACCGCAGCACGGTGCTGGCTTACAGCAGCTCCACAGGGTGCACAGAGCCCCTTCTCTGGTGGAGCAGTATGAGGCCATCCCGGCAGCAAAAGGCCAGCATTTTCTCTCCCCTTTTCCCTGTTGTTTTTACACTGGCTT